GATTTGTGATTTATCTTTGGTATTAAGGAAAAGCTGCTTTTTATTTCATCGAAATAATGGTGACAATAGCCACTTAAATTCTGAAGATATTATTAAGAACATTATTGTCGTAATTGCTGTTCGATTTAATCCTAATTGGTATTCGCTCTGAAATTTTATTAACTCACATTCGCGAATCCAGTGTTCATTTTAATTAATGTATCTTTGCTTAATGTAATTGAACGATTTTTTTCGTAATTTTAAAGATCACAATTTGAATAATAATTAATTCGTGTTAGATCGACGAGAATAAAGCAATTAAGAAAAATAAATCTATTTTCGATCAAAGTGGATCTTAGTTTTTAAATATTTCAGAGTAAATTTATATACTTATTCAATTCTGCAAACCGTTGAAATCTTTCTTAGTCTTAAAACGCAATCATAAACAGAACTAGAGTAGTAATATTATACATTAAATTAATAAGTAATTTAATAATTTTTGATGCTGATAATTTTAGAATGATATTAATAATTTGATGTTAATCTAAGCATCTAAGAAATCATTTAATTTATTGTGAAAAATATTGTCGGGATAAGATCATGTAATTTAAAATTAAGCGTTATTGTAAAAAATTATTTGTTGTAAACAATTTTTCACAAAGCAATTGAAGAAAATGTCCGGATCTACTGCACCTGCAAATATCGATTAGGATTAAACATTAAGTTGCTATTACATGTAAAAATAGATCCGTACATTAGCAGAATTTTCAAAAATAGATATTCATTGCTTTCGAATGATTTGTGTGTCCGTCGGCTTTGGAATTTGGTGAAGTTGCTCGTAATTCGAGCCAGAAATCATTCGTTCTCGGCGTTATAATTGAAACTTTAACATTATACGTCTCTTCTGTCTTTGATATGGGCGCGCACGACCACATACCTCGTATAACAGTTTAACCAGCATTCGAATTCCTACGGAATTAGTGCGAGTTCGCCTGTGAAATTTCTCGTTCGCGTTATCCGCGGATGCACAGTTTGCCCTGGAAGAAATGAGGCGAGGAGCGGGGGATTGAGGTTTCGGTGCGAGACCACCGCTTACGGTCGCGACGAGGGGATGGTGGCGAAGAGGTGAACGGGGATCGCGAAGAATGGCGTCGTGAATTACTTTTCCAAATGCTCCCGATCCGACTCGAGGTTCTCCTTTCTACCGCGCCGCTTCAGGGTAGAAGCATCTAGGGGTAGGTGGCTCTTCCAATTTCCAGGCGTGCCAACCAGATTGAATTTCTATCGTCTTCGACAACGACGACGACGACGACGACGATGACGACAACGACGGTTGGCGGCCGATCATTTCGCGAGATATCGGGTAACTGGGTTATGTTTGCGAAAATGGCTTCGAGCCTCTCGATTTTTCTCGGTAATGCTACCTCTCCGTTCCTAGTAACGTTCTCTTTCTCACACTTGTGTCTTCGCGCCTCTACATGTTTTTCTGTCTTCTTCGCTCTTCGTTTCAGTTTCTATCTCCTTGTTACCAACTCTCTGTTCTGCCCTCGCGAAACCATTGTTCGATGAGACGAATCGAATGAATGAGACATCGAAAAATCTTACGTTGATCGACTGAACGACCACGAATTGCGTCTCATTGACGTCTATTACATCAGATAGAGAAAAGCAGTTAATATCTCTTTGGTGTTTATTATTATTTTGCAATGCAATTTATTTCACAAGGAAAAGATCTTGAATTAAAATTAAACATTAAATTTTTTAAATATGTCAAATACAAGCATAAAATCGATTCAGAATAACCGAATCAAACTGACTACGGAAATTTAATTAAACGTTAATATTGCAAAGGAATAAAGTTGTGAGAAATAAATGATAAAACCTGTAATAATTTATATTTAATATTACAAAGAGATTAATTTTTGACTAGTAACTAAACTTTTCCGTTTTGTTTAGTCTTGCGTCTATGAAATAGGAATATCATCGGTTATTCCAATTTTTCAATATGTATATGTATCCAGACCATAGTCATAGCTCGCAACTTCGTATTCTCACGACGGAGGACGTGTATTACGAAATCCGTTGCAAATAGCTCCTACGGGTGCAGTAGTGAAGTTTGAGAGGCACTTCCTTCATCCCCGCCTGCTTTTCCCTTATATCGGAAGACGAGATCAGAAGAAGAGGTATTACCAAAGTGAAAGAACGGCGGGAAGACTTTCTCTCGTCTCACGTCTCTCGTCGTCGTCGTCGTCGTCGTCGTCGCCGTCGATGTCGAGACACTTCTCTTGTCCGGGAGCATGCGAGCGACCGGTGTGAACTTCGCCGTAGGGGATTATGCAAACGGGAGTGGTTTCTGAGTACGGGAAGAGAGATAGATAGAGAGAACCCTGTGCCACGTTGCGTAGGGATGGATGATGACGGTGACGGTGTCTGGTGGTGGTGATGGCGGCGAGTGGGTTCCCTTGCTTGTCATTACCACGTTTGTGGCTTCCACCGCCCGGGGTGTCGGTCGCTCTCTGTTTCGAGGAAGCCTGGTGCTAGAGAATAATTGTAAAAACTCATTCTCTCGGTTTTTACAAAATATACTTTTTTTATAGTCAATGACGCTCTTAAAACTAAACAACTTACAAGCGCGCGCCAAAAACCACACGCTAATCTAATAATAATCGAGATCGTTGTCTCACGAAAATGCCCAGTGTAAAACAAAAGAATCAAAATTTTATAAAACTCGAAAGGATACGGACAATAGGAATCAAGCGCAGAAAACGTCGCGCAAATAATATATCTGAAGTGTGAAACTTCTTTATTCACTAAAACGCGCTTACATGTTTCGGTTCACTTTTGAGCCTTCCTCTCAGAGACAACATAAACTAACATATATAAAAACTGTGAATAAAAGTTATCCCGTTATAGTGAATTCCTTCTACATCCAGAATATCGGAATTAAAACCAAAAAGAGTGAAAGAAAAAGGAAAAAGAAAAAAAGAAAAAAAAGGAAATATCGTAAAATAGAATATGGAGAACTAATTTATCAAATAATTTTACAATTATAATTAATTATCCAACAAATATAAGGATGCTCACCATGCTCACAGCACCATATCGCAAACATTACTATAAAAATAATTCAAGAAGAACCGATTCCTGATAATGTTGACCAGTCAGCATCAGATACAGTGAGTCATTTTTTGTTTTTTAGTTAACAATTTTTCGAGACAACAAATGGAAAAATGTAACATTAAAGCGTTAATTCCAAGAACAAGAAAGTTGGAAAGTAATCGATAAACACGCCAGAAAGACTCACTACTGCATATGAACGACACTGACTGACTAGATGTGACTACTCAAGCCTTTATATAATAGCTTGTCTATGATCGGGAGATAGGCCTTGGGAACCCCTCTGTCTGCAGGTCGAGACTATGCATCTGTTTCCTGATGAATATCATCTCCGAAATCAAATCTCTTTCTGTAGTGACTCCTCGTCCAGTCAAAATTTTATAGCTTGCATGAGTAAGTTTCCGCGAACTGCGGTGTGGTAGGGCCATTTTGAAAATTTCTAGAAAATTACCACGTGGTTGTTGCATTACTGATTTAAAATAGAGTATTTTATGTTTACATTGTCATATGTAAATCAAATTCCTATAAAGAGTTATTTGCATTAATATTACATCGATAATCAGAATTTCTTATATTTAATTTATTTTAATATTTTTGTTGAATGTGCGGTATATTTATTAATTTTTTTCTTTTCTATAAATATATTTTACATTTAGAAAGAACCTCTATTATGAAATAGGTTTCTAGTACGGCCAAACGATGACAACATAGCATGATGAAATTCAAAACTAAGTAGTCACGTTTAGCACTGAATATGCATTGAGAATGCGGAGAGAGAGAGAGAGAGAGAGAGAGAGAGAGAGAGAGAGAGAGAGAGAAAGAGAAGGAGAAAGACAAGAGACGTTGTTTCATTTAGCATTACAACAACTGGCAGAATCAGCTGATCCCTTCACCGCGTTTAAGTAGTAGGATGGTATTTCCAGATTCTAGTATTAATAATAAATACTCCTGCGGATTTCCATGAGCTTAATATTCATGATGTTGTTTATCTCATAATACTGTAAGTAATGCAAGTATACAATGATGCGCACAATAATGCTAATAATACAAATAATGTAATATTAATATAATATAAATTTAGTTTATATTATTATGATATTTTTGATGATTATATCAAATCCATTTCATAATCTTAAATAAAGGAAGATATTAGTTTTAAAGATTTGTTGGTATTAAAGATTTGTCGGTTTTAAAGAAACAATAGACACGTCTAAGTGAATCGATTCATCGCGTTAGAATTTATGCATCTGTCGCACCGGAAATTCTGTGGTTTCGTTGAGCGGTCAGAACAGTTTCAACCTTTTTAGTAAAGCGCAAAACGTAAGGTGCTCTTATGTTCAACTTAGTGTTTGTTCATGCCCCTCGGGATCGTCCACGAAGTAAAAAAAGGCGGCGGCAGTGGCGGCAGAAGCCGAGGTTTCGGTTAGTCGGTTCGGGCAGGAATTCTCGAGCACCTACTCTTTATTACTATGTAATTAATTGTAATGGGGATTTCAACTGGGAAAATAGTCCTCCGAGAGCTTCCCCTTTTGTTCGTTTATTCTTGTTTCTTCTCTTTTGCACGTTTTCCCACTGCGTTTGCGTGTAATACCTATTTTCATATTGTTTCTTCTGTTTGCCGTATTTTCATATTTGTTTCTTCCCTTTGCCTCCCTTTCTCCTACAAAACTTGCAGGTGAACAAGATTTGTCTCCGAGTTTGAATTCGCATGTGGCGCATAATGTTCTTTTCGTGGTTATATCCTCAGTGGAACTCAGAGCTTTCGAGGCAGTTTGAGATTTATCATCGAGAAACTTAAACAAGTTAATATATATAAATTTTTATATACGTTACTTCATGACATTTTTCTATATTAATTATATTTTAGTAGGTTATATAATATTTTCGATGTTTCTTTGTTTTAGATCGACCCAAAGGTAGCATTTCCTAGGAGAACACACCCAAAGGTAAGAAAAATTTGTTTGTTTTTATTGATATTATTTTATTGCATTATTATAATTTGAATTTCTCTTTCTACATGTATCATATATGATATGTATTATTTAATCCTTATGTAAGTAAAGGAGCAAAAATATGACAAATTGATATGTAGGCTGTTCAGAGAATATTTTAAAAAATTTTAGTTTTATATTTTTTACTTTGATTATATTATGTTATGATTAAATTTAATTATGCCTTAGAAGATGGGAATGTAAAAATAATGAATTTTAAAGCTTTTGAGTATCTGGACAATACTTGTCATTTCTCTTTCCAATATAAATTTTTAAGAAAAATATGCTGTGGTTATTCCTATTCACTTAGGCCCGTTTCCACAATATATGGCCGGCTACCTAAACATTAAAGATTATCACAAAATTAATTCCGTTGAGTGATGAATCTCTTGATATATTTAGGTAGCCATATATTATGAAAATGGATCTTAAAGATTAATAATATAGTTGCACGACGCAAGATGATGAATATAACGAATAACAATTAAATAAAAGTAACTTTTTTTATATTTAAAATAATATTATTGATAGAAATATATTATTATAACAAAGTGACATAAACGAAGCGTTTCTGAAAATCACCATTACGGACATTATCGGAAACGATTCTAACATGAAGAATTGAAATGGTTCATCCATTTGCGAGCGAGTTGACGGTGACGTTTATAATACCAATCCTTTCGGCCTACGACGTGGCAGGATGAAATAGCGGGTTAACGAGAATTACTCGTAGCTTTGCTCGTACGTTCATTTGGAATGCGGTGTTTTTGCCACGCATAGAAAAAGCACGGATGTGGAAACGCGTCGGCAGAGTCGACGTAGGGCGCGGGCGGAACAGCTTAAAAAGTCAAATGACGACGCGTTCAGAGGGCGTGATTGAAGAGGGAATAATAAAGCCGACTGACCCTAGCAATAAGAGTAATTAAACGTAATTCGCTTCGAAACCTGGGATTACTTCCTTGCCGGCGACGATAATCGTGGCAATGGCTTTAGTCGCGCCGAGAAAACGCGCGGAAAGCATATAACGGTAGGTGGAAAACGCGAAATAACTGATAGGGCAAGCAGGATAGAATAGTTGTACGAGTGCACGCATACAAAAGTGATAAGGATAGAGTGACGAGAGAAATTTGCGCGACTTAATAATGTAAATGTCAGGCATGCGAATTACCGGCGAGCGACTGAATTGCGCTAATTTTAATTGTATCCTTTCTCTTCTTCCGGTGACACATTCTCTCTCCTTCTCCTGCTCCTCTTCAACTCTCATTCTGTTGCTATTCTTCTGTTGTATTCTGTATCTATCCTACTGTTATTTTCGCAACTTTTGTCTACCATTGCATTTTATATGTTTTTATAACACGTACGTGCCAGCTTCTTCACTCACAAATCCCTCTTGACTGACCCTTTCAGCGTTTTATTTGGGTGACAGAACCCGAAGGGACATAATTTACGACGCGCGTGTGGCTGAAATTACGACCTGCGAATGTCGTCGGTAATCACGCGTCTCGACAATCTGAGAATAAGGTGTCTGGCAATCTCGGGCTGAGAAACATTTGCCAGAAATCGGGAAAACAAATTTTGAATTGTGAGAAATAGAACGTTTTGGTGCAGACTTGAAATCAGGACAAACGTCACTTTTATGTTGCGTATGACAACCTTGCTTGGAAGTTCCAACTAAATCTCATCTATCACAAACGCAGAATGTTTCAGTGCCAAAATTTTGAATCCCAACTTCGGAACTTTGGCTGTGAGAAATAAAATATTCTCACAAATAATATAAAGCGGAGATAACTCGACAAGGCCTCAAGACAATTTAATATCGGAGATAGTAACCTACATATATATCTTTTATTCTGTGTATGATGATTAATTTTCGTTCTCTGATGGGGTTTTAAATTTATTTCTTTCACTATAAAATTAATCTGATTTGTATATCTTTTTACCTTATGACTTAAAGTTTAAAATTTATGTCATAAGGTAAAACGATCGTTACGACGTAAAAATCAATCATTGGTATTATAAAGATTATTTTAAATATGAAAAATTATGATATAAAGATCTGCCGAATAATCCTTAATATAGCATCGTTTAAGATGATGTGATAAACATTATACTAAAAATTTATGCTCATAAATAGGGTAATGAATTTTGATTTATTAGAGATAGAGGAAACTTAGATTTAAAATCTGAGTCACGAATAATAAGACTATTTTAATATAGATCGAATAATTCGAACTCTCGCGACATGATTCAATTGATGACTTCATAATCGAAGTTTCTAGAACTAATATTTTCAAACTTTCTGAATGTAATATACGACATTTATTCTGCAGGTTATACAAGCTAATATGAGAATGCATATGATGCTCGAAATAATACAACTGGCATTGTACGTTACATGTAATGTTTGTAACGAGTGTAACATACGTATACAGCTTCAACGTTTTGGGAGCCGGATATGAAACGAGAGATGTAATTTTCATAAAATAACGCCAGCTTTTCCCCAAGCGTCATTTTTATTTTACATCTTCGCGTTGCAAAGATTTGAATAAATTGTGCCAATGCACGCTTCGAGATCGGAAACTATGCCAGGAAATTATTTTCCACTCGCACGTGTTGGCGCGATTCCGTGATATACGGCAACTTACCGTAAATATATTACAGAGGAGATATGCTCTATTTTATATTCGTGCGCAGATACACCTATTAATGTCGCGTACACGCATTAATATCTACTTGCAAACGTGTAATTTCAGAAAATCGATAAAATAAATTTCATATTTATTGTTCCTTGAGTAGGGATCTGAATATGAATCTCAAGAATTTGTGATCTGTAATCACGTATACGTCGCGTCGAGTATAACGCGTATAGTCTGGAAACAAGTCTACTCGATTCTAAGCACTCGACTGTAGCACGTTCAACTAACGAATGCTCTTCTTGTTATAAGAATGAGGTTAATAGTCCGCGATTTTGCTCGGCTACACACGATGCGATTCCGCTTCGCCTGGAAGTCAAGTTAATATCACTCGCGAGGGCACACAATAGGACACTTAATACCGCCGGTTCGTCAACACCCGAAACGCACGTTACTACGTTAGACCCGCTGAACTTTAGGAGAACGGTACCCACCGCAAAGTTCATTGAAATGTCACCGAGTGCTCCCGCGCTCGTCGTAACAACCTCCTTGAGACCGCATGCCGGAAGCGCTTTGTTACCGCACTTCCGGTCTGACGGAAATGGCGCAATGCTCTTCCGACACGGCGGAAAAGTAGCGACAGTCATTACCGAGCCCCTCTACCCCCTTCTACTCTCTTTACGCCGCTCCTTTGCTTCAGTCCTTTGCTGCCGCTCCTTTACGGTGAACGCACGAAAAAAGACTCCGGCAAGGATTTTACGCTTTTTGGGAAAATGCGAGGAGTACTTCAGATAATTGTCTGAAAGTTTCGTAGCCAAGGAAACGAATTGAAGGCACAGACCTGCTCGCGGCAACTAGAGATCCATTTTTAATCAAGGATACATCATATAATCTTTCTCTTTTTATGCAGGAAATTAACATTCAAAAATAAATGTCGCTTATATCTGAGAGAAAATATCACAGTGTCAAATGCTGCATATACACTTGATATATATTAAATGCTAAGTAAACAAAATATTTCGTTAGCATTTAGAAATTTGGTAATAAAGGAGTTGAAATTTTTTAAAAAATTTGCTATAGATAAATTAATATTTTGATTGCTAAATCTATTTTAAAAGTATTTTTTTTTTGAGGTAAAACAAGATTGAGATAATAACAAAATTCAATATTAATATTAGAAATAACATTAAAATCCTTAAAACGGATTAATTTTGTGGCAGCATAAATAGCAGCTTTTAAAAATATATCTGTTTGGTGCAATTTATTTGATCTATTTCATTGATCCTACAAACGCAAACGTCATGAGTGTGCTCAGTGTGTTTAAATGTGAGAGTTGAACTATAACATAATTCAGGTAAGCAGGGAAGGTTCTCGTTCGGTGATAGTACAACACGATAACCCGTCGTAACCACGATCTGGAAAACTATAGCAAGCTCGAGGATAAGGGACGGATAACTAGTGCAACGCATAAACCGCGCTAGCCATCGATGGTGTGGCGTCGTCCCCTTAGTCGGGAGACTGTTCGGGACAGTAATGGCTTCGCCAACCCCCGGTATAATACCCACTTGTTACTGAGTAGTAATATATATATATATATATACGCAGACGTTGTATATATGTATACATACGCGGAGGATATTACTTCAATCGCTGTGAACTCGAGAGGCACCGCGAAAGAAAGAAGAAATGGAGATGCAAAGAAGAGGGAGGAAAAGATGGAGAAAACGAAAAGGAAGAAGAGAGATACCGACAAGAAGAGTAAGAGTAAAGAAAGAGACGGAAGAGAGATAGAGAAAGGAAGATAGATGCGGAAAGAAGAGAAAATCTAAGAAAGGAGGGTGGAAAAGCTGGGATAGTTGCACCATGTCTTGCGTAACGAGCTGTCGGCTCCCCAGGGTGTTCAGTTTTCCCTTCACTCGTTTCTTTCTTTCTCTTTTCTCCTTCTTTCTCTTCTTCTGTCTTCCCTTCTCTTTGTCCACCATAGCAATATCTCTACCTACGTACCCTTACAGTCATACCGCACACTCCTTCTTTCACAAACTCGTTTTGTTTTGTCCGTTGAGTGAGAGATATCCACTCACTCGAATCGAACGGGGCGCCAAGTATATCGTTGATACGCAGCAATCCCCGATCGCGCGACAGCCTCCTCTCCGCCGCGCCGCATCGTCGTACTTTAATGTTATCTTATATGATTTGTTTGACTTTGCCTCGCGAAACCCTCCGGCTTGTCGTCCCCCGTGACGCCTTCGTTCTTCTTCTCCAACGAGCACGCGCGTGCAATCCGAATCGTGGAACTTACACGTTGCGGAAATAACTTTTTCG